ACTGGTTCTAATTCATTGTGAAAACACTATAAAACTCTATTTTTGTACATATAATAGCTTAATGTTTTACTGACATTATGTGTAAAGTCTGTGTTCTGTTTTATCTAGACTTGTGCCCACAGGTACCAGGATTGGAGTTTTGACAACCGCCGTTTATTGGGCAGATGTTTTGTCCTGGAACAGGACCTTACCTTGGTGACGGATGGAGAGTCCACAAGAACAATTTGTAGGAATCGGGAACCAGATAAGCACAAGTTTGGCTACTGTCAACAAGGTGTTTCTGTAGCATTTTCCAAAGACAACAAATATCTTGTTTATGGAGCTCCAGGAGCATATGACTGGAAAGGTACTGCAAAACTTTATAGGCAGGAGGTATTTTATTGATTATGTAAGACTTTTATTTATTTGTAGTTTTTTTAGAACTCATTGTAAATTTTAAGTATGAAATATTGAGCATTACAGTCTATCATTTATAATCTATTTTTAACACTTAAGGCATTGTGCACATGGAGCCTGTTGATAACTTCTCTATAGAGACCTATGAAACGGGAGATCATAATCAGCTTCAACACAAGTTTATTCCTGTGGACATCAGCAGCTTTTTAGGTGATTATGGTCAGCCTCTTGGACTACTGTGTACCAGTGGCTAACCTACAGTACAACTGTCTTGAATGTAGACCGATTCAAAATAGTATATTACTATAAATATAGATGCTTCATCTTGTGTGATGCAGTAGTTAGAAATGCATTAGAAAGCTTCAGCAAATACAAAATTATGAGGTATTTGATGTACCATGGAAACACACTGTAACTTTTAGAAGTTCCAAAAAAGACATTTATTAAAGCTAAGCAGCAAAAAAAATTACTACTTTTGAATGTACTAATGTGTATAAGTGGACCCCAGGGAAAAATGCAATGATAAAATATATATGCTATGACACTTTTAAATCTGATATCGTCTATTTGTCAACAGATTTTCTTTTGTTCTCTGTCAGGCTTTGTTGTCGATACTGGGATGAACCTAACGAAGAAAGGAGAGCTGAATGTCGTGGCCGGGGCTCCGCGCTCAAACCACAGTGGGAGGTTTTGCTTCTGAGAATGGAAGAAAAGGCAGAAACAAGGAACTTGAAAGCTGAGTACAGTACATCCTTCAAGGCCCAGGTTTGGCCTCCTCCTTTGGCTATGACCTCGCTGTTCTTGACTTAAACGCAGATGGGTGAGTCTTCACTTAACCATTTACAATAATGACTAAACAGGATGTGATTGTAATATTTCTTATGAGTAATAAAGGCACTTTTAGAACACAGTTGATTTTGTGTCAGTGAATTAATGTCTTCAATGCTTCAGATGGGATGATCTTGTTGTGGGTGCACCTGAGTTCTCCAAAAAAAGCATGGATGAAGATGTAGGAGGGGCTGTGTTCGTTTACATCAACCAAGCCAAAGGACAACGCTGGAACCAAATCAAACCAGTGTGTCTGTACGGGAAAAGGGACTCCATGTTGGACTAGCAGTGGCACATATTGGGGATATCAATCAAGATGGATACCAAGGTTGAGTAAAAGGTTGTTTTTTACTTCAATCTGAGGCCTCAGCCTTATAGTGCATCTGACAGATGATCTTTTCTAATTTACAGATTTTGCAGTGAGTGCTCCTAAATTTTCGTAGCACGTGCGACATATATGTCGCACTGTACAGCCCTGTAATATCATGGTTCAGCTGCAGGATTCCATAAAAAATCAGAGGTTTGTAAAAGGAATCACATATTTATAAAGTTTATCTTTTATCTTTTTTTATTATTATTATTATTATTTTTTGCATTAGATTCTGAGGTCATATTTAAAAAATATATTATATTATATTATATTATATTATTATTACTCCCAGCATTAATCTTCTATGCCCTTTTGCATTTGAAACTTTTTTCAAAGTGACTCTCTCTCTGTTTATAGGTTTTAGATGCTGGACTCCCTGGTATCAAATCGTTTGGCTATTCTTTGGCTGGAAACATGGATATAGATGATAATGGCTATCCAGACCTTGCTGTGGGTTCACTTTCAGATACTGTGCAAGTTTATAGGTTAGATGATTCCTACTTTCATAAATTCATAGATTCAATGTTGATCAGATGTTTTGCATTCATAAAATTCATATGAAGTGATAGAATAACCAGACACACCCCACATAATAAAAATACTTTAAAGCTGCAGTCCGTAACTTTTTTTGTGTTCAAAATTTACTAAATTTATACAATAAGCGAGTACACCATGAATCCATTTTCCAAACCGTGTTTTTGGCTTGTCATGAATCACTACGGTACACCTATAATAAGTGTTTATATTCGGACTATTTTAGACTGGTTCGGGTAGGTACAGCTGCGGAGTAGCCCAGTACATGCGTGATTCGTCATAGATATAAACAGAGAGAAGTAGCTCCGGCTACAATGTTCTTCCGCAAGACGCACGCAGTTCTGTTTAATAACCGCTAGAGTGCCAAAAGTTACGGACTGCAGCTTTAATTTTTTTTTTTGTAGGATCTGAACATTTCATAATACTGAATTATTTATATTGTAATATAATGAATTAAATGTATAAAATGTCTTTTTTTAAGGACTAAACCAGTGGTAAACATAGAAAAGACCTTAACATTAACACCGAATACCATTGATTTCAAGGCTCAGGACTGCAAGAGATATTCATGGTGAGATAACAGCAAAATCTATCATCTATCTATCTATCTATCTAGATTGTTTTGTTTTTAATTTTTTATGCATTTTGAAAACTCTTTTAGCCTTATTACAGCTCAGTCCTGCTTCACTTACACTGTCCAGACACCTACATACAATCACAAACTGAGTGAGTCCATTCCTTGTTCTCCATACCGCATACCCTCTACCGCACGCATTATGATAGACCTATAGAAAAAAATATTTGACTCTTTTTCTTTTCTAAGAATGGCT